AGTGGTAGTGGTGGTCGTCGTAGTAGAAGAAGTAGTAGAAGTTGTAGTAGTAGTAGTAGTAGTAGTAGTAGTCGTAGTAGTAGTAGTAGTAGAAGAAGAAGAGGTAGTGAGGTAGGGTAGTAACAGTAATAGCAGCAAATGCAGTAGCAGCAATAATTGCGTGTGGGCTTGGCATCGGTTATGCTCCCCACACCGTGAGCTTCTTGATGTAACCAATGATGTTGATGTACACGTATTACTCTGGTTCCGATCTCAACTGTTCAACTCCCTGAGCAACGCACATCCCTCACTCGCTTTGGCGCTTTGACTCCACCGCTCTCGAGTGCGTGAGTCTTTGCAACGGGAACAAGTTTGACGTCTTCCAGGTAGGACACCGAGAATCGAATGGCCTCGTGCTATGCGATCCAGAGCGCGGGCTCACTGCCTCTGGCTGCCGGTGGCGCGCCTCAAAGGCCGGGGCCACGGACTCATCGACATGACCTGCTGGTCTTTGACGCCCTTCTCGTACTCCTCCAGAGCATCCGTGTCCCACGTGTCTCTCCACTCCTGGGGTACCGTTCACGGGATAATATGCTGACGCCTGTCGCACTACTTCCAGAGGATTGGGCGCCTTGCGGGCCGCCAGCCGGCCTATACATGCACTCCGTCGCGGCAGAGCGCGATTGACACACGTCCCCCACTGATAAAGCTGGCGCTGTCAAAGAGCCTTGGCTGGTTGTCTCCGCTGACGGTGGCTCAGCACTGCCGCGAGCTTACGCCCGCAATGGCCGCCAGGGCGGCGTGACCGGTGCTTGGCTGTGCGTGCGTTCGTTCACGTCCACGTCGTCGACCATTTCAGGTCGTCACTGGCCGCAGCCCCGGTGCCTGCATTGGCCGCCCTGGCTTGCTTACTGGCTCGCGCAGTCAAAATGGTTGCTGCCGCCACGTCGTAGACTACCTTCTTGCCGTCTCGCAACTGAAGAGGGTCGCCTTCCTGTAGCAAGGGAAGCACGATGCCCTGGTTCGTCTGTTCGAAGCGAGCCTTGGCGAGCACAGTAAGCTCCGCCCACTCACCGTCCCTGGTGAGCTTGAACAGGTCGCCGCGGAAGTCTTGGCGGTGAGTCTCAAACGCAATCGCCACCGGGACCCGCCAGTCGGGCAGCACGGCGCCATTGGAAGCCGCCTGGTGCCAAAACCACTGCAATGCGGCCACGGCGACACTTCGGCAAACTCCGCCGGCCGGACCTTGTTCCTGCCCCGGGCGCAGGAGCTCTATCTGACTGAGGAGACGGGCGTTTGCCCGCCTTGTTGGACTCCAACTCGGGCGCTTCTGAGGTGGCGCCGACTTCGGCCGCCTGCTCGCTCAAGTAAGCGTCCGCGTCGTTGAGAAGGTCCTTGGCCTTCTTCTGAGCCGGGTTAGGTCCAAGGCTTCAGAGCCTCGGGCCTGCACATCTCGGTGTCTGGCATGTCACTGCCGTCGTCGTCCTCGTCCGTTGCAGCCCGCGACCGAGGAGGGGTCCGATGGGGGCAGGCGGGTCCGTGCTGGAACCTTTGCCGTGCTGGCGACCTGAGCTCGGTCCCTGTGCTTCCACAGCCTGTGCGGAAAGGCTTCGCAGCAGGACTAGCTCCAGGCCGGGGAGCGTCTCCGAGCACACGCATGGAGTCCACCACGAGCACGCAGAAGATCAACTGACGGCGCACGAACTCTGTTAACAGGGCTCCCTTGGCATCTGTGAAGAAACAAGCCCCGTTGTTGTAGGCCAACTGCGCGTTGACCTGCATAATCCAAAACACGGCAATCCCACTGGGCCGGACAGTCGCCTACAAAGCGGTTTGCGAGGCGACCTCCCGGTCCGCCCCTCGGCCTCAGTCCATCAGCGACGACACTGTCCGTCAGATGGACAACTGTACCGTGCCAGATGTGGGTGCAGTGGGCGCGATCAGAGCACGACCCGCTTGGGTCCACGATTCGTTGAAAGGCACGGAGCAGGCCTACATTGGCACGGCGATCATCGATGATGGCACGCGTCCAGGCGGACCGCGGCTTGCAACTCGTCTTGGGAGCAGCCCATGACGTTACACAAGCGGGCGATAGGGAGGTATCCGACAAGCTGGGACTGACCCTGTCCCCTGGCGCAAGGCGTTGACTACCCACGTCTCACCGATCCGCAGTCATCCCTTCCTTCTTTCCTTCCTTCCCAGTCGCGCACATCTGTCGATGTCCGGCGAAGCCCTGATCAGACCTTTCGTCCGGCTATCTCTATAGACAGCAGGCGTCAGACCAATACTAAGACCTTCGAGCAACATCTCGGACTCCGCATCGGCCCTTGAGGGCCAAGCATACGGAATAGTGGAAACAACTAATATTCAAAGGAAGCTGCAACGTTCGACTCAATGCTTGCTCACGTCCACGGAGCATGTCGTTGGGCACCGCGCTGGAAACAGGTACTGCAACCCAAACCCAAAAAGTTTGGTGGAGTGCTGCAGTTCACCAGGTTGCTGTTGTAAGCAGGAACCATCTTTTGATGTTCGGCAATCAATCGTTGGCCAAAGCTGTAGGCAATGCTTTTGGCCTGCAAGGCTTGGGTTTGAACTGCAAGGTGGGTGGCAGCGGCATCGACGTCGATGCCTTGATTGTGACCCTGTGACAACAGTTCCGCGCACTGAACGAGTTCGGACTTGTTCTTAGTCACAACAAAGTAGGCTCATGTAGGCTCTTTTCCGTGAGGAATCCACTGGAGCCAGTACGAGTTCCAACCTCAAGGTTCCAACCTCAAGGTAAGCGCTGTCTGAAATACCATCAGGAATAGCCGCGGGCCTCGGCGGATTTGGTCCCAGGGTTGACCGGAGTTGCAGGGTATGGTGCATGCTGATTGTTGGCAAAAGGCCGCCACCCAGGCACAGTACCGGGTGTGCATTTGGTTGCCGGTTGGACACGTGTTTGCACGTGCATAGGACCAGACAGGCACAGTTTGACCCGCGTAAAGGACTGCCAAGATGATCACATGGGCAAAGGCACAACAATGCCTTTAATTTGCGCATGGCCGGACACCACGGCGGTGTCGAAGGCGGGCTTTTTCGATCACTACAACTTGATGTGGTTGGAAACAAGGCGAATCTGCGCCAGAATGAAGATGCCCCGAAGCCCTTTGCTGGCGCGGTCACATGTTTGTTGGGCAATGGTGAGGTCAAGCTCTCCGACGGCGGCCTGCCCGTAAATGCAGATGGGAAGCAAGTCCGCCTCCTCCCAGTACCTGATCTCGGCGCCGTTGGCCGGATGAGCTGTTCACGAAGGATCAAGGTGGATGCTGGAACATCGGTGCCATTGCGAAAGGTGTAAACGTGGACAACACGTCCGACTGTCCCCCACCAAAGGACTCTATTCACAGCCAATGGGTGCACCATCTCGTGCCGTCTCAAGTCTGCCGTCTGGAGTGTTGACAGCATTGGCGGCTTTCTGCCGGGAACGCTTCCCCTCCTGATGATACTCGCGCTCAACGAGAAGGCGGAATTGCTGTTTCTGCCGATCTGCGAGTGAGGCTGTAGGAGGCTCAGGCCGCAAGCCGGTATGCAGGCCGGGCGGGGGCCGCACACTCGGGCGCAATTGGCCTGATGAAAAACCTGGCCGCAAAGTGCCGGGCCTGATGCTGTGGTGCACGACGGGAGCCCCACGACTCCTGCTGCGCAGCGATCCATGACAATCTCTGGGCAGGCTAGGGCTGCGCCTTCGTTGCCGTCTTCTGTTGGAAGCTGGCCCTAACCTTCGTATGGGTTCCAACGCCGACCGTGCATTCGTACCTTTTCCCTGCTGCGCTCAGGGGCTCGCCTGCTTCCACACGCAAGGGTTCTTTTGTGTTGCTGCGTGCGCGGGCCTTGTCCCGGCGCCTGCACTTACTGAGGCGTCTTCGCAACTGCTCCTTGGAGGTGCTGGATCGGCTGTGGGCTGGTTGCGGAAACGCTGCGAAACTTGACGTAGGGAAAGAAGAATTGCACAGGGAGGAAAGGTGATGCCGGTCCCCTTCATGAGTCGTACAGCATCCTGTTGGAAGACCAAAACGTGAGAACGGACTCGAGCAATCGGTTGTTCCGATCACAGGCTGTGCTGGAACAGGAGAAGAAACCTTAGGAGACCCGGCAACCGAGACCCACAAACAAAAACGCAACAAATGCAGAGGCAGCGCCCGCAATTGCATCGAAGACCTTGATCGCGTACCTACACCTAACTGCAACATGCAGCACTGTGACCTCTTCCTAACACAAGCACAGGATGACGTGAATAACCTGTAGTGTTTGGGCCCCTGACCTCACAGGTGGCCATGATCCCGATGAATCTCATTGTGGGCACATGTCATCCTACTGCAGTGATCTCGATGGAATGACACAGATTAACCTGCAGAGATTAGTCCCACTCATCTTCTATCGCGGGCTCGTGCACACGCACACACGCGTAACGGAGAAGGCACATGTAGAGACACGGCAAAATCTTGCCTCAAGATGTTGATCCTGGAGAGTTTGAGCATCATGACCTCACATCTCACGTGCGCTTACAGCCATCCAGGTCAAAGCAAATCAGCCGTCAATGGTGTGCGGCAGAAAGGCTGGTCTGCAGCTGTCGCTCCTCCCCTCGGCCTGAAACTGCGGTACCCACGCACACAATGGCTGGTGGGACCATCTGCTGTTTAGTGGAGCCCCGACAGATTCATGCCTTTCACAGATTGCTGGTACCGACAGACTAAATGAGTGCCCAAAGTGGTCTGCCAGAGGGTTAGATCGAGCAAAGAGACAGGGTCAGGGGTAGTCAAAGGAAGAGAGAGACAGAAAATGTCAGAGTCACAGAGACCGCTAGAGAGAGAGAGAGAGAGGGAGAGATCCAGCACAGACACCGCACTTCGGAGCGTGCCATCCAATTTGTCCTTCTGTTCCGCTTGCCTCAAAAAGCTGATGGATGTCATGTGTTTGGGAGATTTCTTCAGCTTGCTACAAAAGCCGTCAAGACGAGAGGCATTTCGTGAAGGCGCTGCTGAAGCTGCTGAACTTCAGCTTGCAATGCCTCGGTCGCAACAAATTCAACGACGACATGCTTAGGATTGCGTAGGATCTTCTTGTCATGTCATCATGAGCGCGCTTGTACCGAAGATTCCTGTCCCTCGCGATACAGTGGGACGGCACTTCAGTTTCAGACGTCAGAGATCGTGTGACAATTTCTTCATCCGTGCTGCGTGCTTGCCTGCTAAAAAGGCGATTATTGCTCTCCCTCCCTCCCTCCCTCCCTCGCTCCCACCCTCGCTCCCACCCTCCCTCCAAACATGAAGTATGATCCCAAATATTTTGGCGAAACTGGCAGGTGCTGACGTCTCCTGCCCTTTGGAACGAAACTTGACGAAGACTCGGCACAGTTCGACCGCACATCGCATCAAACGCATGCAAACAATTTTCTTCTCTGCTGCGTGACTCTCCAAGCCTCTTCTGCCACGATTGAACGTAGATTCGCGTTGCTGCAGTACAAGCATATCACTTTAAGGCTCCACTGCCTTGTTTCGCTTTGCTGGCTGTGGTCGTTCCTGCAGCTGAGCTCAAAGGTAGCCACGTGCTCCATCAGGACCAGGCCTCGTTGCGCTTGATGGCCAAGGTCAGCCAACGTAGGAAGTGGCCCGAAGCGGCAAACACCTGGCCGATGAGCCGCTAAATCCGCTGAATGCTGTAATGGAAAGCATACCTGCGAAGAAGCTCGTCGGCTTTGCCGCATCATGCGGCGCAGCATACAGAAGCGAGAGTGCGACCATGCGCGCCGATTGTGGCCGTTGCAGCCTGTCGCTGAATGGCTGACAAACCAAATTGGTCTGAGCTAGCAGGGTGCCTTTCGTTCAGCACCTCGACCTCTTCATCAATCTTGGCGATCCTGGGATATCAGGATTGCATAACGGGTTCATGTGCGAGCCTGCGTCTGAGATGCGAGCTGACGCCGCAGCTGGCTAGCATGCTCCATTAACGCCTCCCCATCCTGGTGATGCTCCCCGTGGCCGATCGACTGAAGTCGCAAATCCCAAACTTCAGAGCTGTCTCCTGAATGCTGTCACGTCGCACAGCTTCGGCCTCAGCATGGGAGACAGCCAGAGTCATGCGACCTTCACAGCCTGGCAGAGCCCTTCGCCCAGTCTCTTTCGGTCTGCAAGTTCGGAAAGGAAGCATTCGTTGCAGATGGATCCTGGCGACTTGAGATTCGCCAGACGAGCCACGGGCCCTGCCGATTCCTCTTGCCGCTTGAGTTGAAATTGCCAGTCACGTATGAGGCCGTGGAACCTGACAATCAGAGAGCGAAACGCACGTCGGACGCGATCGGAAACAACAAAAGGAGGAAAAGAGGGAACCTTCGCAACATCTGCTGCACCTGCAACAGACCGAGTTTCGAGCTTGCGCTTCCAAAAAAGACTGTGTCAACCCTCTGACTTGGCTCATGCCATCTACTTCGCATCATGAGCATTTCAACATGCTCCTGCATCGAATGTAGCTGTATGGTATGTGGGGAACGTTTCGAATTGAGCTAGGCTGGGAGCTGCTTCCACTCCTCCTCGCCCCCCTTCGCATCTTGTCGTCACGCTTGTGTTGAAGTGTCTTCAATGCAGCGTGCAGATGGAGGGGATCTGCTATTGCTCAGCAATGCCAGAATCTGCTCTCCAAGCCTGCAAGCATCAGATCGGAGTCCTCGTGGGAACGAAGCGGACAGAGAGGAAACACAGTTGCAGTTCTGCAGTTCAGTGTTGGCGGCATGGGCCGGCGGAGGGGGGCTGAGGGGACGGCGAGACGGGACTCGAGCATCCACCAGCACTACGTACTGCGGAGGTCCCGCAAGACCTCCGGAGCACAGAAAAAGAGCCGCCAGAGGGCCAGATCATTTCATGTGGTGGGCCAGGAGGCAAGAGGGAAAGAACTAAGTCTGCTGAAATTTGGAAGCCAGTCTCTTGTTGGGTTGGGGGTCAATCGCCCTTGCGGAAGCCCCTTGACTTTCATTTGTCGTGCGGGCAGGTCAACACATGCAATTGTGAGATAGGCTCAGCGAAGTGCGAGTGAGTAAAAGCATGCATGCAGCACCTAGACCTAGATGCCGCCGTCGCTTAGGTGAGGCAGCGTAGAGCATCGGTAGCCACAACCAGTGTCTGCCACAAGCCACGCTTCAGGGTCTAGACACTTTTCGTGAACCGATTTCTCAGGGTCTACCCTGAACCAATGGATGTGATTCGTGATTCGGCTTGCGTAGTCACCGATGCAGCACTCTTTTTCTCCAATTCAGCGTTCTTGTCTCACGATTCAGGGTCAGTTGCCGATTCAACACTTTTGATGCTGTGACTCAACTGTGGTTCCCGATTCAGTCCGTGGTAGTTACCGATTGAGTTTGATCAGCGATTCAATCGTTTTACCTTAGCATGATAAGGCAGATTCGTTTCTGGATCGTGCGTTTCTAGGCATTGACACGCGCGCGCAGCGGCGTCAGGTGGCAAACGGTCCAAGAGCCTACATGCACGATCCTCAACGATCCTTCAGGATCGTCGAAAGGGGTATGTAGCGACTTCGAAGAATCACCTACTCCAGTGCCGACCTCACACAGCAGCATACTCTGACAAGAACTTTGGGTTTTGCGATTTCGGTAAAGCGTGGGTGAGCCTCGGGACGTGGCTAGGAGATGCTAGGAGCCTCAACTCAAGGCAGTTGCAGCAACTAACGTGGCCACGGTGACGACAGCAATGCCCACAGCTGCCGGACAGAAGTGACCATGATCGGGCCGAAATAGGTGCATGCAACTGGCAACAGCCTTCGCTCGGGCTGTGATGAGCCGGCTGATGTCCCGATGAACTGCTGGCTCATGCCAGAGCTGCACCTCTGCCAGAAGCTCAGCCCGGCAAGCCATGAGTCGAACCCAAACAGGCTCGCTCCGCCGCTCCGCCTGCCTCTAAAGGCAAACGTCGGTTCAGCAACGTGTGCCTTGCCAAATGCAAACGGAAAAGGCCTTGACAATAGACAGAGTTGTGCTTACTGTGCAAGCCTTCCAGCTCAACCATCAACCATTCAAGCAGACCTCTTGGTGCGTGGCTCGCTCGGCATGGAGATGCGAATCCGACGCAGTACGTATCTCAGAGTATTGGCACTCATTTGTCAAGATGGGAAGTCTCGAGGGGATGTAACTGTTTCTGGAACGGTGCCCAATATAAATGCCGGAAGTCGGCCTGAGAGATCTCGGGGCCCCAGAATTCACCACATCCACACCAAACCCGCGTGCAAGAGCGAAGCGAAACAGTGCAAGGAAGCATCGCTGTAGAGGGTGTGCATTCTACGTATGTCCTCATGTTCCTCATGTCCTCCATCAGGGGTCAGGAGGCTCCATGGATCTGCAGAATTAGAACGGAACGATAGAATTTGAGCTTGTCGCTTGCCATGCTTGCTAAGGCCAGCCGCATCCCGGACGCAAGCGGCATTGAAGCAGAGGTTTCTGACAAGAGTACTGCTTGGGCTGTCGTCTGAGCAGCCGTCTCGTCCATATCTGAAAAGCTCTCGCCAGCCTCTGAGAACACCCAGATGCACAACGCCTCATGACTCATGAGTGCTGTCGCTGGAACCGCCTGCAATGAACCACCGCCCTCCGGCCCGTCAAAGACCAGGCTCAGGTAGCCGGAAGTCTCCTCTGTCTCCTACTGAGTCAAAATGATCGACTCCTGTCACGGTCTTTGAAGAGTGCCGGATCCTCGATGCGCTCGATGGAGAGGTTGCTGACGTTCCAGCCCTTACGACCAAGAAGGCATCCCTGCTTCTGCTTTGCAAGAATGCGACGGCTTGCCTTGTACAACATCAGCACCGAACCACTTTCTGGCTCTGCCTGTCTTTTGCAAGCCGCAGCTTCAAAGGAAAAGCCTTTGCTAATTTGGCCCAGACATTTGGTGGCAAGATGTTTGCTGGAGATGCACGGGAACCTCTGCACTCAAGAAAAAAATCAGTGCAAACAGATTCTGTGGAATCTGATTCGAGTCCTGATAGTGGACAGGTCCCTCCGACCGCACATGGCGACCATGCCAGCAGCAGGGCCTGAGAAACATACATGGTACCCAATGGGGAGGACGATGAAGAAAACTGCGGTAAGTGCTCAGCTGCGAGTGTCTTCGACACCCACATCCAGCTCATAGCGGGCGCAAGCTTCGTGCATTACTAAGGCAAGATACCTAGAATGAAGATGGAGGAAAGTCTAAGCTTTGTACTTTGTAGTGGAGATCGTTCAGAGCCTCACAACTGTTAGCAGTTAGTGATCCATGCATGGCTACAGCCCATCAAATTCAGCTCAACTGCAACACATGACTATAATACCCGCCAGCTGCATACAAACTGTTGTGTTCAGCAGTACCTGCTGAAAGTTTGAAGCTGCCACGGAGAAAGCTTCAGATTGGCTGAGGTCCAACAAGCTTCCGGCAGCGGGCATGTTTGCACGGGCAGGGATCGAAGTTCGCTGCTACTTACCACAAGTGGCCCCTCAGTTGACTTATTGGACTGTGGTGCCAACAGCTTTAGACTTTAGCCGTCGGTTCCGCCTGAATTTGAAAACCCTGATTTGGAAACTGACGCGGGCACAGAAACAACACACGCACGGATAGCGATCTAGTCTCAAAAGGATATGCTGATTCAGAAACTACGAAACGCTGATTCGGAACCTGTGACACGTTGCCCGAGGAAGCTGCTAAGGCTCTAGCTCGGAAAGTGGAGTCAAAGCATGCGCAGGAAAATGTAGATCGAACGGCCTGACCCTGCCCAACCCATCTGTTTCCGTGAAGATATCAGCCTGCAGTTTGGTCAGGACTGACAAAATGTTACTGGCACACCTGCTACTGGAAAGTTTTACCCACTTCGGGACACGTGAACCGAGAGACAGGATCAACTTTGGAAGTGAGTACGGCGTCAGATCAGCTGTAGACACTGTAGTTTGCTGCTTTCTGGGCTCGTGCTCGCGCCCGCAACCTCAGCACTGCCTACCCACGGCCTACTGATACGTTCAGCCACTTATTTGTAGTGAAGGTCTGACCTTCTGACAGAGCACGAACTCTTGAAACATGGCCGGCTTCAAAACTTTACCACAACCGCGAACAACTGAAACTATCGAGACATCTGCACTTTTACTCCAGACTTGCCGCCGGAGATTTTGGTCGCATCCTTCGGGGGTCCGATCGGACTCGCAGCACTCGGCCCTGAGGCTTTCAAAGCTCCAAGTCATCGCCCCAAGCTGCGGAAGAGACCTCCAAAAGCAAGAGATGGAGGGAAAAGCCAGGAATGCCACTGTAGTCACTAGGTGCCTCAGCGGTCTCATCCAGCAAGGAGCTCACAGAGGAGCCTTTCGGGCCTGGCCCGTGCTCCTTTTCAAGAATCCTCCGGGAAAACATCCACTTAGCTGCTCTTTGCGAAAGTCTGCGCAACACGGAACGAGGGAAGATTATTTCTTCGAGTCCTTGGTGCTCTATACTCTGGCTCCATACCCAACTCATTGAAAAAGTCGGCCTCCTGAGCCAGGAGCTCGGGAGGAAAAATTGAACAAAGACCAAAGATGGCTTGGCAGGCCTGCTTCTTGGCAGCAAGTTTTGGCGCCTGCGATGCAACGCCTCGCAAGGAATCAGCGAAAGACTTTGGAGGGCATGCAGAAGGCGTTTTTGGACCTATTTGTCATTTGGTGCTGCACAGGAAGTAACAATCACAGCATTGCTGACGTGTACAGCAACCAAACCTGGAGCTGGCCGCTTGGTTGTCGTTTCTCTGGTAGGATTTCGCTCCACCTGTCGGCTGCCACAGCTGCTGCACATGAAAGTGAAACGAACAATCAATGTGGCAGTAGGGCCCCACTCCGCTGCGCCTCAGCCTGCATTGTCAGAAGTAGAACTCTTATCGCTGATCGCACTGCTGTGTCTAACAAGGGGTTGCGAAAATGAACACAGCTCCATCGAACGGAGCCGACATGTTCCGAGCATCCCGGGAAATAATGTGTTCTGGCCCATGCTGTCCGCAGGAGTCGTGAGGATCGCAATAACCCACTTGACGAGCGCTGATGGAAGAGTTGAACTAAATACCACGAATAGCCATCTGCCATCTTGTACAATGCTGTAAATGCGGTGTATGCTCAGCACCCTGCAAGCATCTCGACAGCCTTTCCCTTTCTTTAGGCTCCGGCATCGCAAGCCACAGCGAGCACAGCAGCCTTTATTGCTCCATGCGCTTAGAGGTTTGCGCCAAGCGGACGCTTCGGCGCTTGCGACCGCGGTGTCTTACAACACAGGCTTAAACATAGGCCTTAGGCATAGTCGCCATGGGCGCATGTTTCGCATGCTGAAAAAAATAGGCAGGCCCTTGCCGCGCAGACAGCTTACTTGGCAAAGCTGTAACTCGGCATCAACCTGAAAAATGGACATCTGCAAAATGAAAGGCGCTGCCCATTTCAAGCGAAGCGGCATCAACACATCTCACGGCCGTGCCATGCCTAGTCTAGAGTCCAGTCGACTGCTAGTAAGCACACCCCCCTCCGAACACCCTGTCGCTCAGCTTGGGCAGGTACTGGTACAGTTCTGGCCTGCAACTCGATGCCAACTTGTAAAGGTAGCACTGCAAGGCGAGAAGAATGGAGACAAAAGCTGAAGCCTTCCAGTGCAAAGCATGGCTTATGTCGAATTCTTCCGTGACCGGACTCGTCACCGTCGTGGTCATGGTACCTGTCATTGTCACAGTTTCTGTGGCAATGGTCGTGGTCATGGACCTTGCCACGGTACCTGTCATTGTCACAGTTTCTGTGGCAGTGGCAGTGGTGGTGGCACTCGCGGTGACGGCGGTCGTCACAGTCACGGCGGTCACGGTGTTCGTAAGCAACGTGGTAGTGGTCGTGGTCGGGTCCGTGCCAATGCTGAACACCAAGAAAGAGTCGGATTCGTACCCGGTCACGTAAGCATATGCACCAGCGATCGCAATGCCGCGGGAATCGTGCCATGCGGGGTGCTGCCAATTGCCCGCGATGGTGAGGTTGCTTGGGTCGCCGATGTCGATCATCGTCACGGAGTGATGCTTCTCTGATGTCACGAACGCGTAGTTCCCATCAACCGCAACTGCCCGGGACTCCTCAAGGAGGGTTGAGTCCGCGACGAAGCCTCTGGGTTTCTATTTAATTCAGCTTTGTGTACCCTAGCAAAGAGATGCAAATAAGGAAAGCTGTACAAGATGTCCCTCTCAAAGCAACTTGCATTCAGCTGCTTAGCAAGCACCAGGCCTACGATGGTGAAGTTGCTCGGGTCGGCGATGTGGATCGCAGCAAAGCCGTCCTCGCCGTCGCAAGCCACATACGCGTAGTCCCCGACAACCGCAAGGCCTCTTGCTTTGTCAAGTCGCTGATGGTGCCCGCTATAGTCATGTTGTACGGGTCGGTGATGTCCAGGATGGTCAGAGAGTCTGCGGCATAGACCGTCACATAAGCGAAGTGCCCGACGATCACGATGTTCTCCGCGCCATGGAGGAGGTCTTCTTCCAAGACATGGCTGGCGACCGTCAGATTGTGGGGGTTGCTGATGTCAACCACTGTCACGGTGTCCACGTCGTAGGCAGTCACAAACGCGTAATCGCCGGCGATCGCCACGTCCGTGGCACGGCCGAAGAGATCATAGTCTTGGAGACTTCCCGCGACAGTCAAGTTGGCTTTGTCGGCGATGTGAACCGCGACAAAGCCGTGGTACTCGTTCGCAGCCACATGGGCGTAGTCTCCAGCGATGGCAAGCCCTCGGCACCGTCCAGCTTCGAGTCAATGATGGAGCTTACGATGCTTGGATTAAGCGGGTTGCTGACGTTGATCACAGTAAGAGATCCTTCGTCGCCGACCACGAAGGCATAGTCACCATCCATTTTCACACCGGAGGCATCCTCGAAGACGCTGTGGGGGTTCTCACCGAAGAAGCTAACTTCGTTGGGGTTGCTCGGAGTGCTGATGTCGATCACGGCCATGCCACGGTGCATTACGCCCGTATTGCATGCCACGTAGGCGTGGTTCCCCGCAAAGGCTATTTTCCTCCCATAGCACAAAGTACTTGAGTCTGTCGCATCGTCGCTAATTTGCACGCTGCCGAAGATGGTGAGGTTGCTTAGGTCGCTGACATCAACCGTCACAACGCCATGTAGCATGGAGACGTAAGCGTAGTTCCGCATGATCTCGAGGCCCACGGGTGTGTTAAGCCCTGACACGCCGAAGAGATTGTTTTGAGACGGGTCAGTGACGTCCAGCACCACCAATGCGCCGGTAGTCGCTCACGTAGGCGTGGTTCCCGACCACAGCGATTCGCCGAGCTCCCTCCATTATGCCTGCCACGGGGGCAGTGAAGAAGCCGACAGGGCTGGGGCTGATCGGGTCGGAGATGTTGAACACGGTCACGTGGCGGTTGCTGTTCTGACCAACGATGTAGGCAAGGTCACCGACAATGTCAATACCCATGACTCCATACAGGTTGAGGGTGTCTTGCACGGCTGCTGCGACGGTGAGATTGGTCGACATCACCAGGCTGCTTAACAACATAGGCGTAGTTTCCATTGAGCACAACCTGATTGAGGTTATCACTCACCGAGCTCGCGATGGTGAGGTTGCTTGGATCCGTGATGTTGACCGACACAAAATACTTCTCCCCAGCCACGTAGGCGTAGTTTCCTCTGACGACAATGCCTTTGCAATTGTCCAAGATCGTGTGATCCTTGATGAACCCTGCCAGCGTCGGGCTGGTGGGGTCCGCGATGTTCAACACCGATATACCATCATCAAATTGGGCTGTGATGTAGGCGAAGTCTCCTGCGATGGCCATCCCATAGGCTCCACTGAGCTGAAGGGCTCGCGGATTTCCCAACTGGATGCTTGAAGCCGTGACAAGCTTCATCGTGGATCCGTGACACCTTCCTCTACACACCAACAAGCCTGGTCGCGGCTCTACAGAGGGGACCAATGTAGACGGTACACCGTCATTCAATCTGGGGCCTCTACTTTCGCCCTGGAGCCTCTCTGAGGTTTGGGGCCCAACATCTAGGCCACCTCTCCTCAGACCCAAAAAAAGGAAACAGCTGGGCCTCCTTTGTCTGAGATGCGCTGGAACTTGCGCCTCCCTCTCCCCAGGAATCCCCGAAGAAATCATCCTGACATGTTGGGGCAGCGTGCAATCTTTCACCGACAACGAAGCTCGCTCTCCTCATCTTCATCATCCATATCAACGGCTTTCGACAAATGCTGCCCTTCAACAGCAGTGTACCTGGAAGGAGGCCAAGGGCAAGGGCCGACTGCCCTCAACCTGCAATCACACCCTGAAAAGTCGAGGGAGCACTGATCCGGCGGCTTTCGCCCTCCAAAGAACGACAAGCAGCGAAGCGGCTTGCACAAAGCCTTCATGGCAAGGCTCCTGTCAAGGCGCTGAACGCTCCAACAGGGTCTCTGACGATGCTAAGACTCTAAGAGCATCAGAAGGCTTGTTTTAGCCGAGCCTCGCTCCGAGCTCTCGCTCTGCCGGCCGGGAGCAGTTAGGCGTAGTTTCTACGAGGTTCTCTGGAAGGCTGTGTTCAGCGCACAGTGAAGAGAACTAATATGTCCGCTGGGGGCTGTCTGTGCTGCTGCAGCTAAAGCTATCCTGTAATTGGCAGAGGTCTCGTCACAGCTTTGGATGAGCGATGTTCGCACATCTACCTAGAAGCTGTCACAAGGAAAGCCGATAAGCCAGAGCCATGAATCCAAAGTCGCATCCTCAACGTCGGGCACTACAGTCACAGTTCTCAGACAGCGCGAGCAACTCTGTCGTGGTTTTCCAGCTGAAGACTTTAGCCGAAGTTCAGTCAACTGCATTTGACTGGCTGAAAGCCTCCTCAAAGCTACGGACAAGGACGAAGGCCTGGTTGACCTAGGCCTTGGGCATCTCAGATGCAGCTGCTGCAGCCTTCGGGCTTGACTCCTGCAGGCTTTTGTTTCGGAGCTTGGCCATGAAGCCATGCATCAGGACATCTGACCCTCTTGCAATGCTGCACGGTCACCCTGATCTGCGCGAAGTAGGGATGTAGCATCGCTTCTTTGGGCAAAATGCGTTGAGCCTCAGGCTGCATGCACTGCCTGGAAAGCCATGCTGGACCTCTGCGAAGCAAGGTCATGACATGGTCGTACACCAACATCCTGTCTATGAGATCCAGCACGTCCAGACTGGCAGGGACGCTGGACTTCACTTGGAGCACAACTCCAAATCAAGCGAAATGAGCCAGAGTGATGCCTCACCAGATGCTGATTCTCGGATGTCACAAACTTCGACCAAGCTTTTCTGGAGTGCCTAGCAAGCTGGCTGCAGGCTGCAGGCTTCACGCAAGGCCCCGATACATCTGCAGTAAGTGTGCAAAGCATCGGCCTTCCAAGGATGTGATCAAAATGTGGATCCAACTCTTGGTTGTACTTGTCCAGGTAAGCAAACAAGCCATCTGTGCCTCAGCCGATATGGAATTGCCTGTAAGCTGAGCTAGCAGCTCCTGGGGAGCGAACCCAGAACACGGGCAATTTTCACCAGCTGGTCGTAATTATCCTGGCCATGGAAGAAAGGCTCCTTTCGGAATACCTGCAAACAAGACAAGAGGAATCGCAAAACTAGACTGCGCAGGCGAAGCTGGTGATCAGAGGGGTGCACCATGCCAGCGAGCATACAGCCCAGGCTCCAGATGTCCAGAGAATAATCATAGAGCTGCAGATCGACCTGCGCTACTTGGTTTTTCCCGCGGGTATCCATTCCTCTGCACACTCCCGCGCCAGCAGTTCGGGACCCTTGTAGTATCGGGAGGCAACCTCGGTCCACAGACTGACAGCGCATCGGCATCTGCGGCGGCGTTAGCACGGTCAAGCATCATTTGAGAAGAGCCTGCAAATCTACGCAGCAGGACTCTCGGCAGCGAGCCCGGACGTTGTACTCACGATTGGGATGGTAGAACTCGGCCAGTCCCCAGTCGATAAGCCGTAGTTTCCTGCGACACGTTGCAGGAGCACCACATCCCGATGACAGTGGCAATCATGGTCATGATGAGCGCCTGTTCTCGTGATCAATCATGACCTTGGCACGGTATTTGAGCAGAAAACAATTTCAAGACAGTTGGAGAATCACGCAACAAACCTAGTCTGGCGGCATTGTGGGGTTTGACGTCCCTGTGCATGATTCCCTGGGAATGGCAGTAGTCGAGAGCCTTTCAGCATGACAATTGGCAGCTGAAGAGTGGTGACAGCTGCCGCACCCGAAGAATCTCGAAGATGTAGTATCGAATGTCGTGGTCGGTGAGGGTGGGGTAGAGTTGCTTGAAATCGGTATTGTTGATGTACTCGAATATCTCGGCAGCGCAGCGTGTTGGCACGGCACAAACATCCCCGCGCACACACACACACACGCACACACAGAGACACAATCTTGGCACGACATCATGGCCGCAAGACGGCAGAACACCCGCATGCATCTTCGCTGAGTACGGCGCTAAGCTGGGCGTTTTCGACTGAGGGTCTCTGACAACATCTAAAAGCCGCACGATGTTCGGACCACCGTAAAGGTTCTGTAAGATCCTGCATCTGAACGCGTCGACGAAAAACACTACGCTGCAGGACTCACAAGAACATCTTACGACCTTATTTCGCGCTTGATCTTCTTCTTCTTGACCGGCTTCAGAATCCTGAACACAGTGCAAAGGCAAGCCTTGCCTAGACATCTGCAGACTGTGCTCCAAGCTTGATGACACATTTTTCTTGCGTCGCCATGTGGATGCCTTCAAAAACCTGCAACGAAGCATGTCCGTCACAGTCAACCTGCAACATGGCCTGTCATGGCACATCTCACACAGCTTTGAGCCATCATCCAAGCCCAAATCTCAGAACGCAAAAATGACTGCAGCTGAGGCCTCGCTGTACTTGCCCCTGCCAACTTTGCGGAGGACTTCGTAATCATCCTGACACCTGAGCTTCGCTGTTTGAGCTCTACGATCTGCGAATACGTGCGCCCAACACAGGTAAGACGATGATGGCGGCTCGTCGGAGACACAGTCCGAATGTTCAGAATTGCATTGCCGGCAGTAACTTGCAGCAGCTTGCAGAGGAGTTTGCTGACCGTGTGGGGCTGCCGAAGATGAAAGACTAAACCAACTTCCAACTGATCTCTCACAACCCATCACTTTTTCAACTTTCAACCGCAGTGGTCTGGTCTGACCTACTAGCGAGCTAGGCACACGGGGTGTTACCGCGGCCACTCAAGGTGGCTTCTACTATCCCAAACTATACAGCAGGCCCGTGCCTGCAGGAGCCGAAGCTCAGTTACCACAGGCGGCTCGGCTCAAGCGCACTCTGGTTAGCGTCTCAGAGCTGCAGAATGGGTGCCACTTGAGCACTTCGAGCTGGGATGAATAGATTCCCACATGTGGTGGCGTCAACCCATCAGCCAGCTGCATCCTTTGTCCGTTTGAGATCAATACGCATCGGTGACAACCTTCCTTCGATGAATGCGTCCTGTGACATAGCTACGCAGTCCTCTCCGTTCCCATGAATCATCTTGATTTCTTTCCACAATAAGTAACACCCGAAGTCTGCTCCTAGACCTGCATTCAAGTTCCGAAAAGAAACCTCTCATGAAGTCGATCTGCTATCTGCTTAGCCATGTCTGGTCCGTCATGGCCATCAACATGAACAATCATGAGGGCGCGCAAGCGTCCTTGATGATCCCGCAGACAAAACAACGCCGAATCAACTGCAGATTTTTGGAACCCCAGCTCCTTCTGAAGAATCCTTGACAGCTCATTATGCCAAACCCTAAGAGCGTCTGGCCTTCCGTACACCGGCTTCAGAAGTCTCAGCAAAACTTTGCTTCCACGTCGAAATCTGCAGCGACGACCATGATCGATTTTACGGCTGTCTAAGCTAATGGTTGCCACAAATTTAACATTGAAAAACAGAACAGCGAAGTGAAGACAATGATTAAAGATGTCATGCTGCAGCTGAACGACGACGACTCCAGACAAATCATATTCTCAGCAGGCTTTAGTACGTAATGCACTTTGAGAAATGCGCAGTTGTCCCGGAACCAGACCTTTGAGGCCTTGTTTCGGCTGTCTCATGTACATAACTTGGGTGCCTTCCAAAGGAGCTCCTTGGAGAAATGCATTCGAGATATCGCCGATAAACTAATTAATTCATGGTCCAGCCACAATTCGTCACAAGGTGCAAGAAGATCATTGTTGACACCCGCTCAATGGTGGGCGAGTCCACTTGAAGCTAGCTCTCCCGCCTGGTCTGAATTCGAAAAATTGTGATCATCTTGCTTGCAGGACACTCTGGAATGAACTGATGTTGATCTGCTAAATCTTGTCACCTAACCTCTTGTTCAAACAAGCCCACTCGCTCTGCCGATAGATCCAAGTAGTACGCATGGAAACTGTTCAGGACCATATCTAGATTCGGGAGTGCGAAATGCCCACACCTGCTGAGACACAAGGACCGGATCAGAGACATCAACATGCCAACTGACTCTATTCCTCAATGGCATGTACTCATCCGGCAATTCCTGCGCCTCGTCATCGGTCATTTCAACATCTTCGTTGAGCTCCTGGGCAAGGCGCTGCTCCTGAGGATCCGCTTGTCCTACCAAGTAAATCCTCGTAGGTAGCTTCCTTAGGGATCTTCTTGAAGAGGGCTATGGACTTCTGCAGTTCTGGATCCCCAAAATACTTTTCCTCTCCTACAGCCTCCCTCAAGCGTTCTCCAGCAACCAAGAAGTATCTGCTTCCACATGCAACCCAAGCGTTACGATCTTGATTGCCGACAACGCACCCAGGACCGACCCATTTGCTCTGGTTACTCCGTTTCTTGCTTCCTTGATCACGCCAGAAGAACACCAACTGTCCTATCCTCGGAATCAAGCTTCCTGGTTCGGTGGTGAGCAGTCCTAAGAAGTATATGCCTAGCCTGACTCTTCACATATTCCATGTTGGCATGATACCCATAACGAATATAACGAATGCGCAATGCAACGTCACTGCCCCGCTCTCCCACCGACGGGTGATATGCGTTGGGGTTTCCGTTCTGATGGAGTTCTCCATACATCCTGGGCTCACGTCCAAACACCAAAGCAACAGGAGACCACCCATGTTCCCGAACCAGGCTGTTCTTGGCACATGCAACTTCTCTGGCGACTTTTCGCATATCTTCTCTTCCTTTCGGTTGGGTATGAGGATAGTATTGATGAGCATATCCTTAATGTTTGATTGTGCTTTTCAATGTTATCGGCCTGCCAATCAGCAGTTCCTGCAATTGCGGTAAAGCAGATTCCGGTTTCCCAAACTTTCTCCCAAAACTCGCGTCCCCGGAAACCCCTTTGAGGTCCGTGGTGGCTCGCAACGGCGGGCCTGCTCACTTCATCCATACCCGGTCAAAGACCCATTGAAGTTCGCAAGGTCCCTCATGAGCTCGACTATGTGATGTGACGTCGCACGATCTATAATTGACAGAAGCCAATGCGCTTGTTTCTCGGCATCATGTACACAGATACAGTCAAGCTGAACTTCATCTCCAAAGAGGGATGCTTGAAATACAATGTGTAGGCGGCCTCCGACCGTGCGCACAAGTCATGCACTTCATCCAACCGTCTGCTTCGACCACCTCCTGCTTGGCTCCTCCGAGCTTAAGAAACCTCCGGAGGTCGGCAACACTTGGATGCCCGAGGTTGCTTTGGGCTTTGATCAACGGCGCTTCACGGCATCACTGACTCAGCGACCACTCGGAGCCTCAAATGAAATCCCTTCACTCGACAGACCACATTTCACTGGTTGAGTCGAAGTTGCTGGTTGCTCTACATCCATATCCTGAGGCCGCCGATCAACATAGGGATTAAGCTTCTCCAGGTCAGGTATCATTTCATCATCCTCATCATCACTCTCTTTCTCTGACTCTCCCTGAACGAAGACAGCACTCTATCGATTCAAGGCTTTCGAGACGGTCTTTTCAGTCCATCGCAGGTCGGCAACATCCTTGTCTCCCGAGTGCTTGCGACGCCGTCTGCGAGTGGCGGCATTTCGAAGCTTCTACGAATTATGCCAGGATCGCTTTCCTTGAGTTTTTGCACATAACCACTGCAAACCGCCTTCGCGAAATCTCGGAATCTTTGGCCCTTTTCCGTCGCCTGACACTTCCGGCTTCCGGCTGCTGCTTCCTTTCTCAACTTCATCGGCAATGCATGCAGAGCTAGTCAACCACATGGCACGCACACCACTATTACGATCAGACTTCGGGCCTACGACACATCGAACTCCTGGGCGCGGAATCATGTTGGCTGCCATAGACTCAACACCCCATGTCTCACCGAATCGCATGGTCTCCACGTGCGATCAGCGAATCAAAAACTCGGTGGGTGAACTCAACAGCCCCCTTCTGCTTTTCCCTCCATTTCCTAGCTCTCCTCGCAGCTTGCAACTTGTTCCTGTGCCAAGGATACACCGGAGGGGTACATGGACAACACTTTGACATGCTCACCAGCCTGGACCGTGGCGAGTCGATCCACTAGATCAGTTCATCCCGTGCGTCCCTATCACACATATCACTGCTAACGTTAACCGGCTTAGCAGTGCACCAACCCAATCGTGATAAGGATGATGGCATCTGGGCATGCCCATCGAACAGCTCCAGTACATCTGGACGCACCTGAGCCTCCATCGCTGCACCAAGCATGGCTACTGTACTGATAAGCACACCAGCAGCCACTGCCCTTGCGTTGCCCAACAGCCGCTTAATCACTTGCTTCATCTGAGACCTACGCTCGCGACCATCACGAATACGTCGATTAATCTCAGATGGACCAAGCAGCTCGGGCCGCTCATCAGATGCCTCCCCGGGGCTCACTTCTTGCTTCTCGTCGTTCTTGCGAGCGCAAAGTAGCTCCACAATTGCAATCTCCTCCGGGGTGAGTTTGGCATTTCATTAAAGATCCGCTTGTCGGCTCCGCCGCTCTCGTCTTCCGAAGTTCCGAAGAGTCCAGAATCGGCTGTGCTCCCGCTGCGATCCACGATCTGTCGGACGAAGTCCTGGAGATGGCCCCCAGCTTTGCTGCTGAGCGCATCATCTCGCGCTCGTTCTTCACCTCGTTCTTGGCCATCATGGTCTCCTGGATCGTCTTGTCCTCGCGGTCGATGTACCCCATGAGGTTCTTGTTCTTGTCTGGCACGCCGTCCATCTCCTTCTGAACTGCTGCAGTCGGAATAATTCGCGCAGGTTACCGGCAAGGTCATCCGACAGCTTGGAAACCTCGGGCATCCATAACACTCTTCTTTCGTCAACCTGTTTGCACGAATCATCATCGGTATCATGCATGCTGCGCAGAACGGGTGGATTGAGTCCACGTCTTGCTCGTCCCTGGTGGCCTCCCTCATCTCGCACTCCCACTTCTCCAGTCGGCAGTGCCAGTGCTGCCAGTGGGGTGGAAGAAGCTCGACCTCGAGGACCTCCGTGCTCTGTACGTCGAGAAGGTGCTCCAGGATCTTCATCGGGACCAGGACGGACGTTGGGCGCGGTGGAAACGGTCTTGGAACTGTTTCTTCGGCTTGAGTACTGCCCACAGCTCCTTCGAGCGATCCACCGCGCTCACCTTCAAGTCCGCCTCGAACACCATGCACCGGCACGCGATCGCGTGCACATAATCTTCCTTCTTGCGCGGGCCCGGACCACGATCTGCTGCATCGAGGAGCTGCTCATCTTCTCGAAAGGCCACACAAGCCCTTGAGATCCGATCTTTGCGGCTGCTGAGTTTGCTCATCAGCGCCCAAAGGTCCTGGAAGCTGTTCTCCTCGCGAGAGGAAATTTCAATCAAGTCACAGCGTCCCATACATCCTGGTCAACCTGAGTGGCATCTCTGACGGAACACGCGGTCCGACACCACCAAGGATGAGTTGCATGCAGCACGTGCGGACTGAACTGGAAAGGCTTTGGAACGAAAGACACCAGTCGTCCATTGGCGTCCCTGTCAGTCCTGTTTCCACACCACATCTGTTCGGGACTGATCATGTGGCTCATGTATCCACATCTGTTCCCCAGCGACCTCCCCAGGGTCACCGTTGTCGAGGACTCCTGCTGGCCTTGTTCACATCGACATGTGGCTTCATCAAAGTGCTCTTGTGGGTTGCAAATGAAGACCACTTGGCACTGCCTCGATGTCGCATGAACAAGTTGATGTATCTGACGACATGTGGATACTCCGATGATCGATTAGTCATGCCAACCCATTTACCATGTACATACAATCCCGCTGACCATGGATTAGTGGTAAGCCGTTGTCCTCCATTGGTGTCGCGATGTCGATAGCTTTCTCCGAGCGGGAACTTCCTCATCAAGTCAAGCAAAGCATCATAGGCGAAATCGCCCCTCTTGATCAGTCCCCTCGCAACGGACTCACACTCGTGGATGGCATTCTTTGTGGCACGCTTATTCCCTGCCTCTGCTAGACGATCTCCTGGAGACGGCCTGGTTCTCGTGGAAGTCATCATGATCTCCTGTTCTGGCTTGCTGTCTCTTCTGCGAGGCTTCGACGTTGATGTCGAACCCACATAGACCCCGTCTTGGTCTCCCCCTGAGAGGCACGGCTGCATTCAACTTTCTGAACTCCACCTTTCCACCGGCCAAGTTCAAGACCACGCCCAGCTGTTTCATCGCCCCTGTGCTGATCATCAACGATGCTCACTCGCATGTGAACCCACTTTCGAGCACGAGGTATACTCACCTGCATGATCACAGCATACTTCGACATCACCCTCGGGCCTGCTCCAAACCTGAAGGGCCTGCTTTCATTGATGATGTAGAAGTCTTCCTGGTGTTTTCTTATGCGTTTCATATGTGGTCGCATCCACTTCTCACCCGCAACGGTTCGAGCACAGCATCTGTCACTGAGCGCCACCAAAGTGCGCCTACTCGGAACAGCTCTGCCTTGATCACTCAGCGACCCAATCCACACCTCGTGATTTGTCTCCTCGCCCACCTTGTGATCCTTAAAGTCCTCGGTCGCGACATAGACTCCATCGGGGGCGAAGTCCTGGTCAGATTCACTATCGCTAGGGTGTTCTTCGATCACTGCGAGCACATTCTGGGACTTGTTGTCCTTGTCCCCATGCCAATGCCCAAACACCGTCTTGCCGTGGGACTTGCAGGCCGAGCAAGGCATCTTGTCTTTCATATTCTTGATCCTTCTCTCGCGGTCCTCCTAGGACTCGCTCCGCGTGAAATCGCGGGCCCTTCTCGATCTGAGCCCTCTTCTTCGCGGCCTGGGGCATCAAAACTTCTAGTTCACCCTCGACGAGCTGCTCAGCATCATGACCTGCATCCCCCATCTCGTCCTCCTCCGCACCATCCACCGTGTCATCGGTAGTCACATTCACCTGTCGCGGAGGCTGATGGCTCCTGGTGTTCCAGTCACGCTTTCCCTGATTGGGCCTGCCGCTGGCATCCTCTTCTTTGTTCACGCGAGGAACAATGGCCATCAGGGCCTTCCTGAGCTTGTGGTACTCGTACTCGCCCCCCCGCCGCTACGACTTGCTTCCGAAGGTCCCCGACAACCCGATTTCTCTATGAACCAAAGGCCTTGTTGAGCCCCTCAATCTTCGCACAAATCTCCTCGAGCCTCTTCAAATGAGCGCGAAACTCCATGTCGTAGGCTAGGTGTTCCTGTCTCGGGCTCCGGCGGAAGTTCTTGTAGAAATCCGCGAGGCTCGACAGATCCGCAAAACTCCAGCGGCTCAAGCTCCTGCCAAAGGAGGGATAGGAGCCGCTCGACTCCTATCGGGTGCTTGAGCTCATGGATGTCCAAGGATTCCGTCGCTAACCAAGCAGCACGTGTCAGTCTCTCCATCAGCTTCTGGGTCCGATATGATTCATCTATCCCCGTCGCGGCTTCAAATACACGAACCCGTCTCTCGTGCTCCCTCATGGGTGTGCTTCCGCTGAACTCAAGAACATTATCCTTCCCTGTCTTAGGCATATCCTTCCGCTCTGATGAACTGGCCGCATCATTGTCCTTCGGGTCCCTGTCATCCAGGGACACTTCATGTTCATCCGAGAGTGCCGTTGCCTCGGTAGGTTGCGTCTCCGATTGCACCGATGTCCTACGTTGTCCACTGGACTCTTGATCCGGAGTCCCACTCCCGATGTCCTGCTCCCCGACGACTGACGTCTGGCCCAACTGGACCATGAACCGCTCTGGTTGCCCCTACTCCAACCCGACGATCCTGATCTCCCCCACGGGCCTGACCACCAGCCAGCATCTGGGCGCCCAGCTGCGAATGCTCCACACATCACCTTGCCAGGTGTACCACTGCGCTGACCATTGTTGCTGCCATATCTGCCATTGATCGCCTGGACCAGCAGCATTGCCGCCATCCATCGCCGCCTCGCTAGCATCGCGTGCTGTAGCTGCCGTCGCTGCCGTAGAGGTGCTGATTTCTGCAGGCATACCCTGCTCCGCACCACCAATGCGAATCTAGGCCCAGAGCTACGCTACTAAAGAGCTGTCGCACAGCATCGTGCAAACTTTTTCCAACAGACTACCGAGAGCCGCATGGCTGCATCGTTCCAGCTGAACTCGCAACTGACAAAATGATCAAAAGTAAACGACACTACCTAACAGGTCAAGATGCACTGCCAACTTTCACAGCTTCATCACTGGAGCATGGCTCCTGTACTAATCGTCACCCTGACGAGGCAGTCACCGATCAAAGCGGATTCGGCGTGAGGCAACAATATGTGTCAACTGAACGATTTGGATGAACCGAGAAGACTAGACTCCCGACACTGTGCTTTCAGAAACCATCTGGCAAACGACCGGTCGTTGCCTGACTGCCACATGAATTGCAGCTTGCTTCAAAGTCAAACTGCGGAGGTAATTACAAGCTTCAAGGCAGAATGCCTTCAAGCTGACACTTCAGAACACCTGGCTGCAGCTCCGGCACCCCCAGTTCACTGAAAGGTTCTCATAGTCCCAGTAATCACGTGGTCGATTGACCTGCTAAGCCGGGCCACAGGCGGAGTCTCGAGATGAAGCTGAGGCCAGGACATTGACATCGTGGTATAAGCGCGGCCTCACTGTTCACTCCCATGTGGCCCTTGTGTGAGCTTTGCATGAGCAACCGAGGCCGCGTCAGCTGAGCTGCACCACTTTCAGGAGCAGCTCGCATTCTGGTGAATCGCCGATGGCCCAGCTGGGAAAAGGCTTGGTGCAGATGCACTGTCGGTGTCGCTATCACGCACATGTTAAGGTTGTTAAGGCGGGCACTTAGTGTCAAAAATGCCTGAAATGAAGGAAATCCAGCAACTGCCGGTGCACGGCTCATTAGTGCCAGCTTTGCTTGGTACGGATTTTGGTTTGGCTTAATAGATTCTTAGATTCTTCGGTAGGGGGAGAATGCAGGAGTAAGAACTGAGCACCTGCCCCGTCAAGTACAGTTTGCTGAACACACACCCCCTTTCTGCGCAGCTACGTTCCATGTAATTCGGCCACGCAATGCAACAACTGTTCGCCGCTTGTGTCGAATGGCGATCTCGAGTCCACTGCCACAACTTGGTTAACCTTGAAGAAAGCACTCCGCAACTGTGGAACCTTCGGCTTGACGGACAAGCAGATTCCGAAAAGCCCGACCACACCAGCCAGGCTCACCAGGAATTCTGCAGTGGCAGCGGCCGCAAACGAACCTACCTGAGCTGCAAAATTCTGTAGCCCTTCGACTGTCTAGTCAAGTCAAGCCTATGGCAATCGGGCTGGGAATCGAGCTTTTCTGCAGGCCCCAAGCCCTAAGGCATGGCGCATACAGCACCTGACAAACGTGCTGTGATGTGTTGCGACAGGTCACCATACTCTCAAACATGCCAGAGGCACACTGCTCACGGCAAGCTCTGCGGGCTGTAGGCAGTGAGCCAAAGTTGAGGTTGTTCAGTTTCCCCCCTGTGCTTTGCTGGCTGAAGCAATGGATGCATCAATCAAGCCACGTTCAAGGCAAGCGCGGCAAGCGTCCGGGCTTTTGCATGAACACATATTCCCCGCACGGAGGCGGTCGTCTCGGTTTGGCGCAGTACAAGGTCCGCGCTCGACTAAAAGCTTCTAAAATGACGTATTGCGGGTGAAACAAAAGTCAGCTACTACACCATAATGACACGATCCGCAGTCTACGCACTTTCAGGCACTTGCTCGCCGCAGCTGCCCGTTTGCAGTCTGCAGGAGACTGTCACGTTGTCTCAACCTGTAGCTCTGCACTCTGGCCTCGTGTCTGACTTGCTCGTCTCGTTGGACGAAGCCGCTGCATCCAAGTGAACCTTAATCTAAGGGACTGCGGACAGGGGAGCCAAGACGGTGGGACAAAGTGGCTGAAACATCGCACTCAGGACACAGATCACTCTCAGGTCTGCACAGGCTCTTCACGACCTGCAACCTGCAAAGCCCGCATCACAGTCACAGGCAGATCAATGGTCAAAGCCTCGGCTACACATGGCATAACATGGCTCCGCCTGCACGTCGTCGTCCGTAAGGCAGAACTTCAGCGTGTCCAGCTCTACCTTGCAAGCGGCAAAGGACCCGTTAAGACGACATGCTTTGATCTGAGCTCAGGACTTCAATGAAGGCTGGCCAACTTTTGCCTTGACGGGAAGAACCTGAAAAAGAAGTGAGGTTGGGACCACATAAGGGAACCAGCCACGATGGGTTGATGAGCCATGCACGCTGCTCCTGGTTTGCAGCATTTTTCTTTCTAGCCTGAGTGTTTCTTCGATGGCAAGCTCCGCAGAGAACGTCGAGGCTGAGAAGCAAACTGAGCTACGCTTGCTCTGCTTTCCTGCTCAGCAAACAATCACCGGTGCTCCGTCGTTACACAACCCGATACCTCTCGCTTCACGGTCTCGCTTCTCCTCCACAGGGGCCAGGGCTGAAAGAATGCAGAGAAAAAGACAGCTGAGATCGAGGGGTCCTCCGTCGATGCCGCTGTGCCTATGCACACCACGACGCAAGATTCATCATCATGCTGGAAACACGATACTTGTCTATTAGGCAGTCTGTCGCCGGATGCACGTCAACATTGCAAATTGACCATCAAATAATCATATGACATGCATCTCGAGTGGACTCGGAAGCTCCGCTCAGATTGCAAGTGCAAGCTGTGAGAGCAAGTTCGAACAAGAGTTGACCTGGGAGGATCTTTCGGACCGTTTGCAGGCCTTTGTCACTCTAGGATGGAAGAGCACGAACTACATGAAAGACTCGACACGGCCCTCCTTACATGCACAATCTGCCGAACGATGCATATTGATTTCCAGACGGCGGCTGCCAAGCAATCGTGAGGCATGCTCAATCCTGAGATTTGAAACAACAGAGACGAGCTGAAAATACCAGCGTCACGGCGTGCGACTGCCAAAAACATTCATCAAGGCCTTGCTTGGCACGTGGTGGTGCCTCGACATGCACACTGAGACTCATGTGCCTCCAGGAACACATATGAACGTGCCTTAGCGCCGCCGAACCTGCAGTGACTCTAACAGCAGCTTCGCATGTTCGAAGAAACAACGGCTTGGGCACAGGCGTCCATGCCACACCGGCTTGGATGCCTGCAAACCGAGCAGCAACCAAAAAAGGCTTTTGCTTCAATGCCCTGTCTCTTTGCTTTCCCCTCACGGCAGAACGCCTCCCGGAGTGCCAACCCTCCCCTGCGCTTTCTAGCTTAGGGGCTTGCATTCTTTGCAAAAACCCACTGCTTGTGCCTCCAAAAGCCCGCTCAGCCTGTTTTTGGGGTTGGAAGTTGGCACCTGGACCCTGCATTGGGCTGTCGAGCACTGCCTTGCAATCGAAGTGGTGTCGCGCTCGGCACGCTGCCAAGCAGGGTTTGAGACACCTGTCAAGTCAAGGACCATCGCAGAATAGTACAGATAAAGGCTCTTGTAAACAACAAAATTTTGCAACTGGCCTGCACAGGAGCAACTGGCATGCGGAACTGCTGCTCGAGGTTGCGATTCGGGACGCACCTTTTGCAACTGCCGACTGCAGAAGCATCAAGTGGCAAGGTGAGGAGACTCAGGAGACTCCCAGGAGTCAATGTCAATCTGTGGCTTTATCGGAGTGCTCTCATAGCTGTCCGAAGACTCGTTTGGAAAGCGGTGGCTTGATTCTGTGGAAGTGTGTCGGCATGTGCTCGTTTGGGCGTCACCCTCATGGAGGGGTTGTGCCGAGTTCAAACAATCATGCCAATCTAGGCATCGACAGTATGCAAGAAGCGCAGACTTCTGACCTCTGGGACTGGTTCCATGTTGGGGCTATATTAAGATTGATGATTCTTATTGGGGTTTATTATAACGAAAATGTAACATTGTATCCAAGAAGGACCCAGTGGATACGCAGCGTAGTTCGTGAGCTCTTTTCACAGGAACTTCCCTTTAACGAATCATGCACCCTCACAATGACACAACCTCCGCTCAAGGTCAACATAGGTCAAGCGGCCACGGAGCGCTTCCGATTTTTGGGCTTGCGGGCCTCGGAATTTCTTAAGAACAGCAATAACCCACAATGCACAGACTCTTTGCAGCGAAGAGACACTTCCTGCACTGAACGTTTGACCTGACTGCAAAACTGACATTACAAAAAGGCTTTCTTCACTTCAACAGCTTGCCTCCTTGCGGTCCTGCTCCTGGTATGGAAATCTCAACAAAAGCTGATGACTCATCCGATCCAATGCACGCTGAACTTTCCTCTAGGCGAAGGCTGGGTTGGACAATGTGCCGGGACAGCCTTGAATCAAGACATTAAATTCTGATCAGGAAGGCACCCACGTGGACTGAGACCCACGTGGACTGAGACCGACACGTCACACCCACTTCAGTGTCGCCAAGTCTGGACCTCATGCTGGCAGAAGAGAAGGCTCTCGAATGAGCTTCAAGAATGACAAACTCCTACCTTCGCGGGTTTGACAGTTTTGGCCTTGACGGTGTGAAACCTATCAAAACGGCAGTACGTGAATCGCACATGTTCAGGCACGGACCTGGCAATTGGTACCATTCCACGACAACCAGAGCTGCACACAGCAACAACTGCCGGACTTCAATTCACTGGCCGATGTCGTTGGGGCCGCCGAGACCACAGGAGAAGGCGGCATCAGTCGTCGAGGGAGCCGGTGTGACCAAGCCAGACGCCGATGCACTCATGGAGATCACCGCGCTGAAGGGGTTGGCTCGAGACTCCAAAAGCACCGCTTCCTTCGCTTTGGTGGAGGGGCGAGGGAAAAAGTCCGCCGCACTGTCCACGCCGGCTTCCGGCCCCTGTGCCCATGGAGTTGGCGCGGGTGGCACCGTCGTCGTCATGCAGGCCCACCGCCGATGCTGCTTCAACTTGGCCGCCAGCCACCATTTGAAAAGCTCTGAAGATCCTCGGCCGACGTCGGTGCACCCCTCCTGGACCAAGTTGGTCGCCGCAACAAAGTCATTGACTTCGGCGACCTGGTCCGCCGTCAGCAGGCCCACCACGGGCATGAAGCTCGTCGGTCGAGCCGATGCAACGAGCCTCCACGAACTGCCGAGCGATCGCCGCGGGGTTGGAGTAGGCCATGACCGCCGAAAGCACAGGAGGATACTAGCAAGAAAAGCTTTGAAGTAGATAGACGCGTCGAGCCACAGTGCTTAAGGCATCTACGCCGCTTGCAGTTGTTACTGCACACACACGTGTGCTTCACTACAAAGCCGGTAGTTCCTTTGTACAAGCATTGGTTGCTGCCAACATTGGCTGGGAGGGCGTGGCACTTGCATCGACTTGATGACATTTCCGCCCAGGACCACTTGGATCCACATCTGCTAGCAGCAGATTGACCTGTGAGTGTATTCCTGAAGACCTTGCACGTAATACATCGCGCTGGGGCTCTGCTCCTTGGTATGGCTCTTTCTGGGGTCTCGCGGTCACTCAACAAGTGTGGTTCTGGTGGCGGACAGAGGCCCTGAACTACCGGGAAGCGACAAGAGGGAAGGAAGCGGGCGGCGTGAGCATCATGCCTGGCCGTTTGGCGCACATTTGGTGCGGAGTTCTGCTACGAAGATCCGTGCAGCAGCGTGCGCGAGACACGAGCAGCTATCGTCGTGCACCGGCGAAGCAATAGATCCACCGACCCCCCGCAGAGGCGTTGCAAATGCAGAAGTCAGACTGGATACACATTTTCATACAGGCTTAGGAGCATGATGATTGACGGTTCTCTTTGATGCGAGGATTCACAGGAAGCCTCCCGCGATTGAAGCCTCTGAGGATCGCACCTAAACTGCTCCAGCATTCGGTGCCCGAACCTGGCACGTGAGACTTCTGAAAAAAGGCAGACACTGGATGTGTTTGCGCGACGACGAGCCTGTGGAGCAAGCTATTGGCAGGCTCTCTCAGAGCGTGCAGCATGCAACACCTCGAAATTCTGTGAATCAACAAAGGCAGATGAAACCCCGGCCTCTGAGACCGCAGCAGTGCTCTTTGCAAAGGGCCGCGATCCGGAATCAAGTTCCAACCTGACGACAGTTCACCATTGCAGGTCCAACGCTTCGCGATGCTTCGGGGGAGGATTTTTCGCTCTAGATGAGATGTCAGGAGCCCAGCGGATGAGTTGTCCCAAGAGCTCACCGGTCCGCAGGAGCCTCACATGCCAAGAGGCGGGAGTAGCGCACTCGGTCGCGTAAATCCGGGAGAACGGCTCTTTTTCGGGCCAGTGTGGCAGAGACTGAAAATCCTCCAGGAGCAGAGCCACCGCCTTTTGATGGATGCGCCGCCTCAAGTCACGGACCACACCCGAATGACCCAGTTGCGTGGCGCGCAGCAAATGAAAGGCGACGGTGGTGCAACTGTTTGCGACGAAGCCGTCTTCAGGCCATCAGGCCCAGACAGATTACTGTCGTTCTCGTGTGAGAAGCGTCGCATCAGGGCAACAAGGTCCTGTCCACAGCGCTGCTTCTACACGGCCCTACTTCAACTTCAGTTCAGCCAGAGCCTGGACATCGATGCGCTCAGCATAGAAGCTTTCAAAAAGTCCAACACAAACACCTCCGACCTGGGCATCCATGCGACCGGATTGCAGATGCAAAAAGCAGATCGGGCTTGTGACGTCCGGAGCTGTGCCCGCAGCGATGCCCGCCTGATGACAGGACGCGGATGGACCCGGAGGTACAGATCACGACCCTAGCCTTCGGATGACTGGCAGGCCCATTTTGAGATAGAGTCTTGATAGCTGCTGGTTCAACGTCAGAGCCTGCCAAAATAATATGAATGGCCGGGCTGTGGTGATCAAAGAACATAGACCTACCTGCACTTGCAAGCTGGCAAGCACATGTCAGTGTGGCCTTCCATCCCTTCAGAAGTAGACTCCTCACCGGCAGCTCCTTGAACGGATTCCTCCGACTGTTGACGCTCTGCGGGACTCGCCGATGTCATCTTATGCCTGATGTCGGTCTCTTTCAAAGTCTTCAGCAAAGCATGCACTCTGAGAGGTGGCACGTTCCAGCTTCGCCAGATCCACGTTCAAGCGCATCCTCACTTCGATATGAACACGTGCTGCATGTTCCATTAAATTTTATCGGGGGCCGAGCCAGCGGTTGGTTGCAACTTGTCGAAGTCTGACCTGTTGTAAAACTGCCAGGTGTCATGCTTGTACAAAGGACCCTTTGCTGAAGGCCCAGGCCTTCGGAATTTGTCTTCGTCGGCATGGCAGTTTGCGTCGCTGGCAGGTTGGCCTTGCTGCCATGGCGTCGCCTCGCTGGCACCTGCTAGGAAGCATGCACCAAAGCTGCTCCAGTGCAATGGTGTCACCGTGTCAAGTCAGTGATGCCTATATGTCCTAGAATCCTAGGAATAGGTGCAAGCTGCAGGCCTCAGCTGGGACGGCGACAATTTCCTGAGTTTCCTCCTTTGGCTTCGCCCTCCGCTTCGGCTGTTTGCGCTTGGCAACAGCTTTTGGCTCGGAGACGGTCTCGGAAGCCTGCTCTTCTATGAAAAAAGAACATGCCATTGTTCCTACCGTCACCTTTGCTTGCGTTCGAGACAGAGAGTGGGAGAGGGAGAGGCAGACTTGACATCGCCGAGCATCGATTGGAAACGGCTTGGCGGACCCTGTCGGTCCGGCAGGACTCTGATGCTAGCGGCCACACTGGACCAACGTCCTTCATTTTGAAACCTCTGCAAGACCCGCCTCCAGTTCAGCCTGCGCCTTGTTTGGTCCCATTGGTACGGGCTGTTCGGCTGAACCCGATCTGCATCCCCATGTAACGTCTGCAACCTCTTAGGCAAGATTTTTTTGGGTTGATCCACGATTCCCGAGGTTTCCTGTAAAACTTTCCTTGCTCAGGCGATCTCGCCTGAGCGAGCTTCTGGTAGTTTGGGCGGAGAGCTACTCCCAGGTCAAGCAGAGGCTCCAGGGCTTCATGGCGTGACTGCGAAGACATCTAGCAACCATCACGGCCCTGCTTTCAGGACACATGAGCCGTGGCAGAGAGAGAGAGAGAGATATAGAGAGAGAGAGAGAGAGAGAGAGAGAAAGACAGAGCGAGAGAAAAAAGGGAGACAGGCAGAGAGGCAGAGAGCGCGCGAGCAAGCACATATGACATAAGCGCGAATGACGCTAGAGGTTCGACAGAACCGCACTGAAAGCTGGACGTGATTCTTGGAGCAAGTTTCACATTACCAACGAAGATGAACTTAGAACTCGAGGCATACAAGCGGCATAGACCGAGCTAGGGAAGTGAATTTCAATTCAGATACTTGTCGAGGTGAGGCAGGTAAGGCCGACTAGGGAATGAAAACTGGGTGGTCAATTGAGAAAACATTCGAGCGTTCGGAGGCCTTAGCCAGCCATCCGAGGGTCAGCATGCGCGCACAAAGGACGGTCAAGTCGCCAGCTCGCTGCAGTCCTAGATCTTAACCAAGCCGAATCCTGAACAGCTACACATGGTCATCAAACGGGACTCAAAGCTGTCGACTCCAGAGCTGCCGTGAAAGTCTCGACAAGTCTTCTTACTTCGACCAGTTTTTTGCAGGTTAGTGCGCCCCTGACAGGACAGAACACCTTCTTTACTTTATTGTGATTGCATAAATAAACTCTCATGCGCCGAATCGGCGCCCTTCAATAAACAAGATAAACAAGACAATGCGTAACTCAAAGTGGGGAGAGAGCGGCTGCTTCTGCAGCCACTCGTACACGAAAGCCAGGACATGATGAATCGGCCGTACAAGTGCCTTGCTTTCGGTAGTTGCCGATACAGGTACCCATCTCTTCTGTGGTTCCCCTTGGGAGAAGCTCTCAAGGCAGAAAGCTTCATGCTTCACCACACAGTTGCAGGTGAGCCGCTGGTCTTAACGCCAGTTTTGGGCGGCATTGGCCCTCATGGACATGCGTCATTTTATCCCTGCCGTCTTTGCCTTGAGCCGATGTTGCGGTCCATGTCCCAACACCAGTTTTTCGGCTAATGAGCTACTGCAGCTAATTAATGAGAATGCTAGTGCAAAAGCGGGCAAAAACACCATAAACACCGAGCAAACTTAAATTTCCAGCATCATGACTCAGAACTCTCCGGATGCTTATGTTTGACTAGTTGAATCACAGACTACTGTAGCTGCGATACATCCGACCCAGAAAGGCATCCGGCAAACTAAATCATCCTGCTCACAGACAGCCCAAGATTTCGTTGGATTAGCCTGAGAAGGCCATAGAAAGCAAAACTAACGAAGATCTCGATTCCGAGTCTCAGTCATGGCTGCTACATCACGTGAAGTTGGCAGACAGGCCCTTTCAATCCAGGAATGCTTAACACGGTTAACAGCTTCGGCAACTGTGCAAACAGCTTTAGTGAAGCTCAAAAACATGCGCAATCTCCTTAATACAGCAGCTGTTGTGAGAAAGACTGTATACATGGTGACTCTTCGATTACCACGAGGTGCATCTTTGCTGACGATGTGATGTAGGCAGCCGCGGGATTCGTGGATTCGTGGATGTAAAGAGTTTCGAAGTGCTATGGCATCGCCGAGGCTGGTGACGGCAGCTGGTTTCACGAGTGAAAACCGGAGCTGTGCTGGACCGCGAACACTTGCTTGTACAGCACACAGTCTTTTGTCAAAGCTATCTGGGCGGCAATCAAGCAATCAAGCCTCCGTGGATTGGTGGCGGCATGCGACGGTTCTCAGGATTGCAGACATACCCAAGCAGAACTAGCAAACACAGCGTGCAGTCCAGTCACGCGATGACGTCATCTGTTTCTGTCCATGTCTATGGAGGATCGCGGCATGCAGCTCACCAAGTCGGAATCTGCAAGAAGATGTGAGACTCCTGGCTTCGTACCCAGTGATAGAACCTCAGGAAGTTCAAGAGGCTGAGTTTCGCATCACATCGGCTGAGGGCCAGGCTGAGCAATGACTCCGGTTGAGATCCCTCGCGGAACGGATAGGAAAAGCTGGTAGTCGGCTGCCATGGACACGTAGAAACACCTATGTTCAGCTTGCAAGCCGCTGTGGCCCACGATCTGTGTCGCAGGATCTGCCCTTCTGTCTTAAGCGCAGCACTCATGGTCCGTTGCAACGCATATCTGGCACGGCACCTCGCATTGCTCTGCGGGGCTTTACGAGCCCGGCCTTGAGCTTGGTAGCTTAGCCATCCGCTTTGGCATTGCGCAGTAGTTGACGACAACGTCCATAATTTCGGAAAAGCATTTTTACTCTGCGTCTCGACTGGTACGCCCTGGCCAGAACATACATCTCGATCCGGCATCATGCGGCACTACTGCAAACTCATCGTTCGGTAAGCATCTGGCTCGGCGATTTGTGATGAAAAGTACTGCTGCAAAGCTGGCACATAGTACCTCGTGGACAGCCAGCGATCTGACGTGAAAAGAATTGCTGATGGACATAGAGACCGGGAACATAATCACCCAGACATCCAGAAGACATGCAGTCGTCGATCAGTTCCAACAGAAGTGTCGCTCTTGCTCTGGGCAAGTCATCGGGCAACAAATCTAGAGCAGAACAGCACAGTGTTGTGGCAGTGGCAGAAGATAAAAGATGAGATGAGGCAAGTGCATAGAGGCCAGTGTGCCCATTTTTTTGAACAGGTAGTTGCATGCTCGATTCGGAGCGCTCGATGCAGCAACACGACAGTGTTGGATGAGTGCTCCGGCAGCTTGCTGATGAGATGCTGCTGTCTGCGCACTACATCAGTGCTGATCTATCCAATGAACGTGGCGGGAAGCTGAGCAATAAAGCTGTCTTGACGCGACGAAGGCTGGTTCTATATGGAGGGAGTCACACGGGGAAGCACGAAGGTCACGCGGCATGTATGACACCCTCCAGCAGCCTGGCAAGTGAGACTTGCAAGTGAGAAGAATCCAGTAATCTTGACGGGCGGACTGCCACTGCGGGTTTCCAGGGGCCTTGGTGCAGTCATGTCTGCAAGAGTCTGGTGGCATCCGAGGCATTTTTGACACTCCTGCGGAGACTCTGGTGCCGGCCAGGAGTGATCTTCTTGGCATTGAAGCACGCGTACCTTTCGCCAACTACTCATGTCGCATGCGACAGCAAAACTTCGCGCGATCGCCACATGTTGTGATCATCAACATCGGAAAATCAGCTTGGTTCCAAATCGAACACAACCAGCCTGGGCTGGATTCTGCAGGAGCCTAGGTGTTGGCGAAGAATAAGCAGTCACGGTATCGTTGTGACACGAATCCGCTGGAGGTGGTGTGAGGCATATCCTCTGTACCTGTGCGTGCCTGCAGTGCGTAAGCCTGAATCAAATCATCGGCAAAGTATCAGTGTCTTTTTGACTCATGCCACTGTGCACCTGTCAGGAGATTCATGGCATCAACTGCCTGCCTATTCGCAGTAGGCACCACTACTTTGCTTAAAGGCTTTGGACTGAAAGTCACCGGCGTTGAGCGTCCCCCGAGAAACTGATGCCAGGTCAATCGGACCTGGGCACGGCATGCACGGCTTGCAGACTGTCAAACATGGAAGGTCGCAATAGGTCGTAGGGTCGTCGGGACTGAGATGAACACTTTTTGAGATTGCTTCCTCGATGCCCTCAGCACAGCCGGGCCTGCAGATCCAAAATCGAAAAACCGCAGGCCCACGAAACCTTCAGAATGCTTGCAGGTGCCCCGCTGCTTCAACGCATCCTTCACCTGGTAAGAGGCACTTCGACCAATGCCCGGAGCAATAGAAAAATGAGACAGTCTCCAGCTTTAATTTGCCGGCTTCGCCATGGCAGCTTGTTGTGAAATTGCGTAAAACTGCTCTCCGTCTGAAGCTGTGGATAGGAAGACCACCCCAACATCCGAACCTCCAGATATCAATAGCAGCTGTGCAAACATCCACCACAGACACCGAGGGAGCGATTCTGGCCTGCCTTCCAGGAAAGAGATGTATGCATAGGCAAAGCCCTGTCAGGAACAACTCTGCCAGGATTTCAACCGAAGAGAAAGAACGACTGCCTTGTCATTGTACTGGCTCATGCACACAGGTGTCCACGACTCTCCCGTCCGCAGTGAAGCAGACGACATGATGATGTTGATCACCATGCCTGCAGCGAACAGCGTCGGCGGCAGGGCATGTGAGCTCAAATGGGCATGTGCCCAGCAGGATCCCTGCCCAGATCCAGAGCGTTTAGGCGGTACTGCCTGCCATGCACTCGTATGATTGCAAGAAAACCCAATCGAATCGTTTGCCCATTGCACCTGTTCGAGACGGCACTGAGGACCCGATGCCCTGCCTCTTGTCGCTCTCATGTACAAGGCGGAATATGACAGAAAAAACACGACGCGAGATTCTTCAGAGATGCGGACCATCAGAAAAGCAAAAAGAACATTTGGAAGTCTCGCTGACTTCAATGCCTGCACTCTGTTTTCACTGGATGCATACATGCGCGCAGGCATTCCCCACAATTGAAACACACAAGCCTCCGTTGCCGCGTTTCGCACACTCGGGGCCAGAGGAAGTGCTTCAAAACCCTCGCACTGCAAGAACATGTCCTCCAAGTGGCACCAATGCATTGTTTCACACCGCACCAAGTATCGAAGTTGCAAGCTCCTGCACACACCATCGAATCATGCTGTTGACGACCTGCTCCGTGCCTGAAACGATACGCGCAAAACGGTGTAAACACAACTCACGGAATCGATGCAAGCGGCCTCCAAGCAGGCCTCTCATGTCGTAGTTGGGGCGGCTGACTAGGGTTCTTTCCTCGTCTGCTGCCAATGACACCAACAGCAAAACGTAGTTGACGTCAGATCCCAAGCTCTCGTGCTTCTCTGGTAGCAAAGCACCACACGACAGCGCTCGTGCAGAACTCCTTCCTCCCCTGCCGTGCTCCAGGGCCTAGAAATGCCGGGGTTAAAACTCTGAAGAACCATCGGCCTCAGCAACCTCGCACAATGATCCATGCAAGTCTCATCTCCGGCGCCACAAAACATTGCCCTCCCGGAAGCTCGAGTGCAGACGGGCGAGCCAATGATTACTCTTCCAGGCTAGATGAGAGTGCGCAACATGCAGACACATCTACGATACTGGTACCAAGTCATAGCTCTTCCTTCCCGGTCCAAGCATCGATTCCAGCTGTGAGGATGGTGATGATTTGCATGTGGACGCGCCTCAGTGTCTGTCCGATTCTGCCTTCGCAACTGAGACCAGCAGAAGTCTAGGAATGCCTATGCCAGGCCCGCCAGGCCGGAGTTACAGCACTGTTGGGGATCCGACTCCAGCAAGCACACCATGTCACCATAGAGATCGCCACTGCATGATATGCAGACCAACCTGTCTGCAAATGTCTGCAATCTGTCAGGTCAGGGTATATAGGAGGATGCGAAGTTGAGAGAGCGCACCACAGGGGTCCCCTCTCCAGAAAGGTAAAGACGTGCTCGCCCGCAGTCATGTACCTGCAGCTGCCATCCTCGAAACGTCCCTTGCAATCGAGCCCTCAACGGGCGTGGGGAGAACACAGGGCACCTTAAACAATCCGTTGTGGTACTGTCGCAAAAGAAGAACTTGGCCATCTTGGACCTCACAAGACTAGGACATGCGATCATGCTTTGCCCAGCCAATGGGCCCCAGGCACAATGGCTGACAGCGCACCGGTGGTGCCACTGAGACCATCCTTTACAGTTTCTCCATGCTGACCTGACCCGGTGACTCTTCACTACGATGCACCTCTTCGCCATAGCGCGAGTAAACAGGTTTCCCACTGTAGGTGAAAACCTCACTGCGAGAGATGCATGGCTTCTACTGTTACTATCTTCTACTGGATATGCAGCACTATGAGACAAGCCGGGTCACCAGAACGTGGCGCTTGTGGCTGTACCTCAGTTTCAACCATCAAGCCTGCTACTCCTACATACGAGCATCGCGTAGCGGCTACTGCCTTCCACAGGTTTAGGCTCGTGCCACTCCTTCACCTCATCCGTTTGATCACGGCATTTTTTGTGCGAACGCCGCCAAATGCGGTGACACCTGAGCGACCGTGCGCTCAACCTGCAAGCACAGGTACAAGTGAAATATACTGAAATATAAGACACCGACCCATCACCTGGAGGTGCCAGTGATGGCAGTAGGCGAAGGTTCACACCAGCTGGCCTGGAGAAACAGTCTAGCATATTGCAACCTGCAACCAGTGACACCCTCGCTTTCAGGCAACAAACCTATCTACTGCATCGCGACGAAAGATTGCTTAGAAAGAAGACCTCTTACTGAGAAGAGTTTGAGAGCAAGACAACAACAAGAAGATCGAAGATCCGAGTGGCTTCAAAACTCTGCAAGCACCGAACATCTCGCCTTTTGTGTACCTCAATCCATGCCTGAAATTTTCACGACAACCGCTTCACGACAGACAGCCTCATTTGCAATCATAAAGCTGCCCAGCCAACTCGCAGCAATCAGCCCACGCCCGTCCAAGGCCCACCCACAACTACTCATTCTCCCTTCTCAGACTTTTAACTGTACAACCGAATGGACAGCCGCTCAGCCTCAAGGGCGCGTCTGAGGATTCATTGTCAACCTTTTGCAAGGTCTGACAGTTCATTTGAGTGACCACCGCCGTCTTGAAGCAAACACTGCAAGCACCCTCATGCCTGGGTCACATCGTCAATGACGTCCTCGAGCAATGCAACTCGATGATGGACAGTTGCTTTGGGGCGCGGGGCTTTAGAATTTCAGGGCTAGGGCTTCCGGTTTTGGAATTATCAAGTGATCAACGTTAAGGTGAGGTGCAGGGCTGTAGAGCTTCAGGTCGTGAATGCTTTCGATCTCAACCTTGGAGCTTAGGCTCTAAATCTGCTCTGCTTTCGCTCCTACTGCAGTGTCAAAAGGGCACTTGTCCTTGTGATTCTGTCCATGCTCAGCTGATCTCAGCTGCCTTGTGAGACATGATAGCCTTTGGTGGGCCCCGACAAACCGAATCATGGCTTGGACACTGGGCTCCTGGTCGGAAGCAGCAGCTTCTGGTCCTTCTCGCGGTGCCCAGAATCCATGGTGACCAAACCACTACAAAGCTGCAGCCTTGTCCAGCGGCGCTCGCAGACTCCTCGAGTTGCCAAATCAGCGGCAAGCAGAAAGTGCCGGTCTCATGATGAAGCCACCTCTGTGTCATCTGGCTTTGGAGGATGGATATCTAAACCTCAGCTTCTGTCCAAGGCGGATCGTCTCCCGCTTACCTTTGCTGTCACGGAGCTGCCAGTCTCCATGCAGGAAGGCCAACATCATCAAGCCAGCTAGAAGGCGGCTGGCGACGGTCGTCTGAGACTGGATCAGAAGGAGGAGCTGTGATGGCATGGTTTGTGCTGTCCTGGTCTGTGACAGTCCTGCCACGACACTTTAGTTTGTGGCTTCTGTTCAACATCGTCGTATGTAAGCCTGAAGTGGCTTTCCGGCCTGACACCGGTCGATACCATTCAAACGCCACAAGATGCTTGCCAGAAAGACACACGGAACACCGAGCACCGACTTTTGCCCAATTCCAGACGCTCCGGCTAGTCATCAAAGCTACCGAGGCACAATTCTGCCATATTAGCAACAGCTCGCAACAGAGTGTTAGGCAACTTTGGGCCCGGGTGGCAAGCCGCAGTGAGACTGTGCTTCGGAATCGGACTCAGTAGCGATGGTGTGCATTAAGCTTGGGCGCCTGCAGCACGACGGCAACACGACGGTATTGCAAGCGGTCTGCTTCATCTTTTCGCTAGGGACCTGCATTTACCATCATTCTGATATATTCTGATCATTCTACATCCGAGTTTGCGAGAGCCGGCTCAAGTCTCATCCATGGGCGTTGATGCGGCTCAGCGGGGCCGACATGAAAAATCCAAGGAGGCTGCAGCACCTTTTACCACACTCTTCGGTTTGGTGCAAATTCCTGGCCACTTCCCGTTGTTTGCAGAAAACAAACGCTCTTGGGGTTTGCCCCGGCCGTTTGCCCCTGTTCCACACAACCAAAGGCACTGTCTCTCTCTCTATCTCTACCAGGATCTCTTTCTCCCTCTCGCTCTCTACAGCACATGGCAGAAGCAGCGGTCCAACTGCTTCCGTCTCTCTTTCTTTCTTTCGCCAGGTTTCCGGGCTCAGGGGTTGCCCCCCTCGCCCGCGCGCTCTCGGCGCCCCCGACCGTTGTGGCGGGGCGTGGAAAGATGCAGTGCACTACCGAGGCAACGACTGAAGATGGAAAGACAGCGTGCAATATAAAGGGCAATGTAGCCGGGGGGAAAGACGGGGAGTCTCTCTCTCTCTCTCTCTTTACTTTGCTTTGCTTGAGGGTTTTAGACGCTGGCAGGCCCGGCGCCCCGCGCTCAAGTCGCTTCCCCATCCAACATGTTTTTAGATGGGGAGTCCGTACGTTGAACGAGGGTGAGAACGACTGCTAGAACTGTGTGCCTCTCTCTCTCTCTCTCTCTACTGGGCAGGGGAGGTCGGGAAGCGTCCAGTCCCAACCCCCCGCGCACGTGCACGCACCCGCGTTCCTCGCGTGTCTAACGTCGTTTCCCCTTGGGAATTGTCCCCAAGGGGCTCAGCTGTACTGGACTGTCGTTATCCCCCCCTCGGACAGAATCGAGATGAGGGGTATTGTGACAAAGCGAACCGAAAGCGTAAGAAGTCTCTCTCTCTCTCTCTCACTCACTCACTCGTATTCATTTACAATCAAGTGTCCAAATGTCTCGAACGGCTGGGGGTCTGCACGAAGTCTGTCCGGCAACTAGAGCCACCCCCGAACGAGGGTGCAAGAACAGTCTGGAAAGCCTTCAGCCGCCTTTGCTGGTCTCCCTTTCTGAGGCACTAACTCTAACCTCAAGCTTGGAAAGCAAGTGCTGCATGCTGAAGCTTGAATCTTGTTCCCAGCTTGAAGCTGCAGCCCCAAACACAAAGTCCTGCTGCCTGAAACATGCCTACAAATTCGCAAGAACTAGCTTTCACAATCATGGTATCCCTGCCTTCCAATTGAGAGGATGCGTTTCTGGAGTCGCGTTCGGGTCCTTGCCAGGAGGTATGAGGCTCGTGGAGCGTGCTGAAACTGAGTCCAAGCATGTCCAAATCACTCTGCAACTGGCACAATGGCATTCTCCTCTCTGTAAATTTTGACGGTCTTGTCGCATTCCGCCGTCAGCAAGCGACTACCACTCTGGTCCAGCCTTTACACACCAGTCACCAACGAACCCAAGAGTGTCATCACCGCTGCTGCTGCTCTCAAGCTCCTGACGCCATGTCGAATATGGCATTTTCCGCACCTGCAATTCGAGCTCAAAATGGCTGGTCACCCCACATCGCAAAAATCACATGTCAAAACAGCAAGGCATGACAACAGAAGAGCGGACGTTCAAACAGTCTGCTCTACCAACGGAATGACGTCACCAAGCATCCAACTCATGCTGCCGGGTTGAGGTATGGCCTGGCATATTGCTTCTCCAATGCTTGAAACGCAAACGTGCGTGTGTTTGCACCTCCAAGCTTTGGAACTTGTGGCCGCTTCTCCAATCCTGCAGGTTATCTGGCTTGCGCTTGCCCTGCGCACGACATGATTAGCTGATTCTTTACAGCATCTGTCCCAAAAATGGAGATAGCCATTGTCTGTTCCAGCAATCAGCTGCGATGAGCCCTGCTGCCCTTCTCGAATGGTGCAGCCTGCCAAGTGCTCGCTCGGACCAGGGCAGCTAGGACAATGTTTACAAATGTGCATGCTCATGTGAACTATCGCGCCCACTTGTATGTGCAAGAAACCGGCACCGCGGAATGCACCTTTTGAGCACAACAGGAAACAAAACAGTCAGGCGAAAGCGCTCCCCATGAAAAATTCTTAATGGTCAGGGCACGGAAGTCGCATCGATCCTGCCGGAAGAGCCCTATACAACAGAACAGCACGCTTGGACCAAATACTCTCACATTCATTGTCACTTATCAGCTGTGGTTTGACGGAGAGTTTGCGCTCGGCGAGAGGGGCAGCTCCTTGAAGCAGCTGATGACGTGGTTTGCGGGCGGCTTAGGGGAGATTCCGACCCCGAAGACCAGACACCAGGTGCATCAGCCGCCACCCTCGCCACCGCCGAAAGAGGAGGATGGTGAGCAGAATCGGCTCTTTTGGCTACCCGACGGACCCAGCATCATGGAGGTTCTCCCCACACCGCTTCCGCCCTTGAAAACTCAAGCTCCTGCGAAAAAGCTTTCGTGAAAACATGACACGTCGGACTGGACATGAGAGTTTGCTACCGATGCTTGATCCTGAATGGCATCTCTTTTTATGAGAGCGACGTTGCTGTTGGACACACCTTGCTCGAGGGGATGGATTTTGTCGCCTTGTCGTTCCAGCAATCCTGTAGACTGCCCAGGGTGACCATGAGAATTGATGAATTCAAAGTTTGCCTGTAGTCGCCCGTAACTTGCATACTGGATCCACGAATAGCACACACACACACACACTTTGTAACCAGCAAGTGTTGAAGGTTCTGGGTCACATGCGTCACCAGTATCTTGACATGATCACAGTTGATCCTCCGGAAAGAGACACAAATGGTAGATGGCTCATTGAATGGAGTTAGTTGAACTCCGCACATACTAGTTTCTGCAGGACGATTGCTCTCCGAGGTAGCAAATCTTGGCATGATGATCGTCTCGGGACGTCTCAGGCAGACATAGGCAAACCTGAGCAATCCCAGCTGCCTCATGGACAGGGATGAAATTCAATAAAGTCAAATGAGAATCCGAATGAATGCACATGCAAATATATGTAAAAAACACGCTCTCAAGCTGCGAAGTTACCTCTACCGTATTGACATATGACCATGTATGTGCAGCTCAGATGTCCTTGCAAATGGCATATCTAAGCTGCATGATCCCAACCGGTCAGAGCGATTCTCGGACCAAGCCCAGGCCAAACAGAGACGAATACGGCGAAAGCTTTCAGAGCAACACATGGCAGGTTGACAATTCACGATAGCATTGTGGCCCTGAATGTTGCGCTCAAAAGCGCCCTTGGGACACTTCCATACCTGCTCATGGCCCCAAGTGGTGAGCATCTAAAAGTCTTGCACATCCGCGAGCGCAGGCCTTGTTGTTATCAGATGAGCACGACACAAAGGTGTACTCTAGAGGATGGATCGCCAAGGCTCGTATGCTCTTC